CTCAGTGAAACCTACTTATCTCCCCACCTTCATCCACAGTCCTCACTCGCTGCCTGTCTCGCGGTTGTCTTCTGCTCACTTTGTGTTCTCCAGCCTGCACAGTGCTGAGCAACGTGTCAGTTTCTTTGCAAATCCATGTTCAGACTGTGGTCTATACCTTTGTGAAACAGCAAATGGTTGTCCCAGGTTGGCTACTCCCTGAGACAAGGATCTGGGTGCCAGTAGTTCATCACTGGGAAGTGATGCCAGGAAACACCAGTAGAAGAAGGGGGAACTAAGACAAGAAAGGAAAGGGTGTTATCAAGCGGGTCACCACTTGGGCAACCAGAGCTTCTGCCACTGGGAAACTCTATGCCAGTATAGAAAAAAATGCCTAAAGCCATCCTAGTGAGAGTGAGAGAGCCAGGGTGTTTATTTACCACATTCTATCAGTCAAGCAGTCTGCTAGATAAGTGCACATGATATGCAATTTTTGCTTTATGAAGTAAAACTCTAGCAGTTAGATGTGAGATACTCACCAGCTCCCTGTGGCTTCTCTGTGATTTTTGTTAATTTTGACACAAGACGTTTTCTGAGCTCTGCTCAGGTAGAAATGTACTGCAGTAAACTAACACAGGAACAGAAAACCAAACAATACATGCTTTCACTCATAAGTGGGAGTTTAACAATGAGAACACATGGACACAGGGAGGGGAATGACACATGCTGGGGCCTATTGGGGGTTAGGAGACAAGAGGAAGGAGAACATTAGGACAAATACCTAATGCATGCGGGGCTTAAAACCTAGATAACAGGTTGATAGGTGCAGCAAACTGCCATGGCACAAGTATACCTATGTAACAAACCTGTATGTTCTGCACATGTATCCCAGAACTTAAAGTAAAATTAAAAAGAAAAAAAAAAAAAGAAATGTACTACAGTAATCTCCAACTGTTGATCTACTGGTGGTACTGAGAAACCCACCCTCCAAGGACCTGTTGGCTTCTGACACATACAAAGACAACAACAGCCTTGAACAGAGCTCCATAACCATCTCTGTCAGTGGAGGAATCTTATTGAAACTATCAAGAGAGAATGGCAGGTACTGCAGTCCTTCGTAAGCTTCACAAAATGCCTCCTGCTAGTGAGTTGCTGACCTCATTTCAGATATTTACTAGTTGAAAGCAAATTGGCTCTGACAAGTTTCTCTCTCTGAGTGTGGCATGAACTTTGCCTGCTTTCTACTTGGCCATTCAAAGTGCTATTGTGGAGACCTGAATTGACCCTTGGGGTTGGCACTTGGAGACCATGCCTTGAGGTCACTGTCTAGCTCTTTCTGGGATGAACAGGAAAGTAAATCATGAATAGGTATTGGGTCCTGGGAAGGCTGCCTCTCAAAAAGATTGATCAGCTGAGCTTCCTGGCTCCTGCCCTGCCCCCTGCTCTCGGGAATCTATGCTCTGCCCAGGCACCCCAAGAAGCCGCCTTGGCTGGTCCTAGATGTCTCCTCTGATACCTTTGAATTGAAGCACTCACCACCTGGTAACTTATCCTGCCGCCTCCCCAGGGCCTCTTCTCTGTTTGACTTGGTGGCCGGTGGAATCTCTCCTGGAGCCTTGAGGGTCTTATTTCTGCATAGCTAAGGCAGTGAAATTCAAGGGATTATTTGGAAATTCTGCTAAATTTAGAGACAATGTTATATGGAAACACATTTATTTTCAGGCTATAGTTCAAGCATCTTCAAGGGCAGAACTCTTTATTAGTTTTCCTATGATGCAAGCAAAATAGTTTTTGGGGTACACATTCTAGTCTACATAATTCAGTTATGTAAAAGTAGAACTTTATTTCTTTTCCCCAAATTTGACACTTATTATGGGTTGAATTGTGCTCCCCCACAAAAGATAGGTGGAAATCTTAACCTCTAGTACCCAGAGGTACTTATTTGGAGATAGGGTCTTGACAGAGGCAATCAAGTTAAAATGAGAACATTACGGTGTGTCCTAATTCAATATGAAGGTGTCCTTATAAGAAGAGGAAATGAACACAGACATGCACACAGGGAGAACTTCATGTTGGAGATGAAGGCAGGGATGAAAGTGATGCTTCTAGAATCTAAGGAATGCCAAAGACTGCCACTGAACCACAAGAAGCTGGAGGCCAGGCATAGAAGAGAATCAGTCCTTCCCTGCACTCAGAAAGAACCAACCCTGTTGGCACCTTGATCTCCAAATTCTAGTTTATAGAACTCTGAGGTGATATATTTCTGTGGCTCTAGCTGCCCAGTTTGTGGTACTTTGTTATGGTGGCCCTAGAAAGCTAATGCAATGCTTAATTCTTTTTCACTGATGGTCTTAAGCTTGACCTTGCCAATTCAAAGCAGATTTGAGAGTCTTCTGTTGAATTCAATCTCTTTAGAATACTCAGGCAATTCAGACTTGCCTCTTCTCTTCCCTTCTGTCCTCACTTCCTGGCTGTGGTCCTAGGCAGAGCTGTCTTTACTTTGTGGATTCTGCTGCTATGTGTCTGTTTCTTTTTGCTGTGCTGGCTCTAAACACTCTGTGTCTATTGCTGAAGTGTCCACTCCTTGCACTTTCCATGGCTTCATGTCACCGGGTCCAATCAATTTACTCAGCATCAACACTCTCATCTTACATATGAGGCTTCCCCAGGTTTTCCAGCTGATTCTCAGCCTCACCTGCACCTGTCTTGTCTCGAGTGATGTGGCCATGGGGTGGGGTTAGGCAGGAGTGGGGAAACTTTGCAGATGTTCTACTGAGTCTGTCTCTGGGGCCACAGGCTGCCAGGGCAGGGAAGTAGTAGTTCCAAGACATACTTTTGCCATCCCAGACCCATTCCACCACCACTCTGCCTCTTCTCTGGCTGCCCACATGTCCAGGGACTCTCTGTGAGGCCAAGGTATATGAACCCCAAGGCATCACTATAGCAATTGGAAACTGAAAACATTTTGAAAATCCATCAGTGGGAGAATGATTGCATAGGTGAGAGAGTTTCCTTATTGTGGAATACTATGCAGCTGTTAAAAAGTGTGAGGACACTCTCTATCCTGATGTAGAAAGATCCAAGACATGTTGCGTTCTACAACAGCATGAATGGCATAATTCTATTTTCATAAAAACTCTGTGTGTATGGATGCAAAAGGACAGAGAATCCTGGATGTATATCTAAGTTATTGGTGCTACCAGCAGGGGACACATGGATTAGGAGAGAGAGGAAGCTATGTTAGAGGAGATGTTCCCTTTTTCCTAAAAATCGTTTTGTAGTATATAAGATATTATCAGGACTATGTTTATAAATGATAAAATTTTAACAAGTAAAAAAAATAAATAAACCAACCCCCAACAAATAACATAAACCATACTAAGAATGGCCTGCCTGTTCCTTTCTCAATGCCTCTAAAATAACCTGTTTACTCTCTTTAAGTCCAAAAAGGATCAGGCATACTTGTGGGCTTTCACTGAATTCTCTCTTTTTCACTGAGATATTGTTAGCGTAAAACTTTAATGAATAAATAAAGGACCAGAAAATACAGCTCCCAATTGCCCTCCAGACCACAGCCTATGTTGTCACAAGAGGCCTCTGGCAATCCAAAAGGAATAAAGTTGAATCAAGTAACAAGAGGAAATCAATATCTTATTCATGTTAAACCTGCCCTAATGTCCTCCATTATGGGACTCACCACACAGAAAATCGATCTGTTTCTCTTCTGGTGGAATATGGGGCTCTAACATTTTCATTTATATATATATATTAACTTTTAGGAAGGGAACTTCACTTATGGAGCTATTTCCTAACTCTATAAAACTAGCAGATTAACAGCAGAGTTTCAGAGCCTCTTATGTTTGAGTTTGCATACTAAGTAAACATTCTAAGAAATAGTTCTTGGGTCAGGACAAGGATAATAATGGTCATTAATAACCGTCACTCATTATGAGGTTCTTCTTCATTTGAGCTCTTCTAACTTACTGTTTATAAATGCTTTTTAATGTGCCAAGTGCACTCCCCCACCCCTCCCAGGCAGACACACACTTGGAGGGAGGTTAATTGCTGCTGCCTTTATGAGCCCTGACCTGTGCAGACAGCATTCTCGGATCACTTCTCCCACCTCTGGGGCCGAGGTTAACGGTCACTGTGCAAGACTGCTTGGGACAGGGAATGGTAGAATCTAATTACTGGCTTTTGTGGGGACCCATGAGTGTGTCTTTATGAACATGATGGGCTGAAGTAATCTCCAAGTCTGTGTGCTAATGATCTTCTGAAAGCTATTGTTATCTCCAAGGTCCTTAGGAAATTATATTTTAATTGTGAGTCTAAAATGCCCCCATTAACTCTCTCTGTTGCCCTTACCTGATTCTTATTGCTCTGAAATCTGCTTGATCCAAATGCAACCAAATTACTTCTTCATTTTGTGCAAGAGATCCTAGATTATTTGTTTGTATAATCACCATCCCCAGTGTGGGTCCCTATTCTCATTTGTTTCCAGCCTCAGTTGGTCCCCTCCCTACCTGGTAGATTCTCCATGGGTACAAGTGCATAATTCTCTTTCTAAACAAGTTGCAACAGATTTCGTTTTCTGCTTTTTGAAGATACAACTGGACACCTTAAAATACAAATTTTTGCTTCTTTATTTTGTTGACTCTCTTAGTAGGTGAGTCATTAGAAGTAAGAAAAAGAAAGCAGGATTGATAGTGAACATTATAAACATAGATGGAACTTGAAATAATATTTGTGAGCTGTTATTAATAGGATTTCCCCTCTGATTTGTATATGTATGTTTCAGTTATGCATATTAACATTTATTTTGTCAGTGAGTAAATTCTTTATTCTCTGAAACCCCTGGAAAACAACATTGCTGTGTTGTTAACACATTGGCAGTGAGTATTCTGCACATATACACATCTCCCTGCCGTGAATCTTTCAGGCAGACATTGTCTTCTGTGAGGGCAAGAGCTAAAATTTAAAAGCATCTTACCTGACAAATGATTAGGGAACAATTCTTCAACCAAATGCCAAAACAAATCAGCTCCCTAAGTGATGTGAGATATTCTCAAGCTGTGCCTGGTAATATTAATAAACAAGGAGACGCCTCTGCCCACAGCTTGTTTTTTCAGTGTCCCCCAACCCTGCAGGCAGCAAAGACAAAAAAAAAAAAAAAAAAAAGCAGCTTTGGGGCTCCTTTAGGAAGTTAAAGCCTGCCATCTTGTGGCTATTCTATAGAATTACATTAATATTTCATCAAGTTTAAGAATCGCTTCTGTTGGAATTTAGGAAAGGTATTTTTGGCATGCACTCATAAATGGCATCTGTATTTGGGCTGTGGTTATACTCTGATAGGTACCAAAAGCTCTAAAGCTTGAAAATGACCACGAGGGCATCTTTGACATCTTGCCTTTGGGAAGCAAGTGAGAAGGTAGATGCTGGGGTGAGAGCTCTTGTACTGTCAGGTTCTTCTAGAATTTATAATGCTAAAAAGTAGCACCATCTGGGATACAAGTGACTGCATTCACCTAAAGTTCTAGGCAAATGGGTAATTTCTTAAAGTGCCCTTCTGATGAGAAGAAAAACTTCAGGCTTGTTAGCTGAAGTGTCATTTGTGGATACACCTGGCGAGATCATAGCAGGTGGTGCAGTAGAGCACCCAGTTCAAGAGGCTGATTCATCCATTGGGTGCTCAGCAAATTAAAATTAATGATGCCTGTTAGTGGTTGGGGAATTTTACTTTAGCCTGGACAAATGGGAATGAAGAAAAAAAAAAGAGCATCTCAAGCATAATCCTCTGGCTTATGCATTTTAAGGTTAGAGAACACCTAGAGGATTTGTTTTTTAAAAAATTTTTGCCAGATTTTAATGATTCTTTTTTCCACATTCTGCTCCTGCTTTCTACAGGTTATAAAAGTTGGAAAATCACAGGAGAAGGTGATCGCTATGATATATGCAATCTATCTGGTGGTCAGAACATGGGAAAAAGAGGGGTAAGTTGGGCTTATCCAAATTTAAGCTCGCTTTAATAGCAAGAACAAGTTTGAGGGAGCTGAATAATTTACATATTTTCAGACACAGCTGCACAGTTCTTTTCAGTTTTCCCATCTGTGAGCTAGAAACGAAGGGAATGATCAAATTTGCCAACTGATTGTCTTCATGGATGTTAATTCAGTGAAAAAATCTCTTAAGGTTGTTAGTGTAGCAAGGTATGTATACTCTATTAAAAGGGGTACACCAACTTTTCATTAAATTCGATTAAATTCAATGGGTTTTTCTTTTCCTTTTTTTAAGTACCATTTGCTTCAATCAGGTTGAGAACAGAAAATCACCTAGAAGTAAATGTTCCTTGTTTCTCAAAGAAGGCTTGAGTAGGCTACCTTGGTTATGTAAATGTCAGACGAGTGAGCCTCCTGGTCCCAGGAGGTAGGTAACGACATCCTGTGCTTTGAGTAGTTTAGAAAATGTTGCCTCTTATCTTGTAGGAGGAATTGGTGGTGCAGAGCAGCACAGAGGGCTGTTGTTGTTGCAGTTGTGTGGTCAGGTAAGATGAAAATTAATTAAGTGCATTTTGGATTTAGTTGGTCAGTCTCATTTTTCAAAACACTTGACCTACCTTGACATTTGTGCCCAAACACTCCTGCTTCTTGCCCTACTTTTCTGGCTGCTCTTGCCTCATCTCCTTTGTAAGGTCATGCTTTCCTCCGACAATTCTGTTGACCGTCCTCAAGGCCTTGGTCCTGCTAAAGTATAATTTTCAAAAAGGTAAAATCAAGACTCTCACACGAATACAAAAGTAATACATCAAAGCCTTTATGTAACTTATTAATTAGTGAAGAAACCGATACGTAAAAATCAGGTCAAAGGAAAACTTGAAGGCATGTATAAGTATACTTAGGAATGCAGAAACGAATTTGCTCATAGATGCAAAATTGTTAGTATCTTGTAGAAAAATAAAATGTAATGCTTGGGGTCAGGGTCATCTTTTTCACCCCAAGGTAAAAATAAATTGTATCTCTATGGGGACAAAATTAACTCACAGTGCTATGGACAACAATAATCTGCATTTCCATTAGTTTTCTACAGATTAACTTCTACTTCTAGAGGGTAGTAAAATAGCCTAGCCAATAGGAAGACAATCTGTGGTGCCCAGCTTAAAAGAATCAAATTACTCCTGGAGGGTCTGCTAGACAGAGCCCAGAACTCACAGTAATCTCTGTTGCTCATTTCCAAGATTTTGACATTTTTTCCTGACAGACCTGGGCTGTCCAACCATTCTGTGCTCTTTCTGGGGTATTTCACCTAAACCATAGCTTCAATTACCTCCAATAATAGCCGACTTTTAACTTTTTATTTTCTGCCTAGACCTCTAAATTCCAAATCCATGCATGTGTATGCTTACCTGAGAACTCCTTTTAGAAATTTTTGAGGCTAATAGAGAGGGTAATTTACATGTTAGAAGAGGAGAGGTTTGAACTCAGCATTATCTGATTTCAGAACTGAAGCCTAAAGCCTGCAACATCAACGCGAGGTAGTTTTTGGAGATGTCCAAACTCATGGGGCTAGAACCTGTATGGTAGATCCCTCCTTATTCTGTCTTATGGTGGGAGGAGTTATCCTCTAGGAAAGAAGAAGCTGGAGAAATGGATCTCACTGTTTTTCTAGCTGAGCTAAAGATAAGAGCCGGTACTGCTGGCTGCCCATGGGGAGAGTTGCTTTTTCCTATTGTTGAGGCAGGAGTAGCTGATAACCTTTTTCTATAGTTGGGACTGTGGATTCTGATGTTGTGCCCTTGATCTGCCTCCTTTTTTAGTTCCTTTACAGGGAGAGAGGCCTCCAGCCTGTGCTCTGGGTGGTAGTGGAGTAGAGGGTTGCGTTTCTCCAATAGAAATGCTTCTCAGGTCTCCCGAGGGTTATCCCTATTTTCTACCTCTGCCCTGCTGACTACTGTTTCTGCTCTCCTGTCTCCCTAACTTGTCCTTCCTTCAATGTCCACACATTGAAGAAGAATGAAATCTCAAGCCCCATCAGTCCCTGACTGATCTCACAAGTTTAGTAGCAATTTTGACCTGTTCAGGTGCTTATTTCTTCCTTGTTGTCTCCTTTTCTTCTCTTTCTGGCTTCTCAGGCCTAAACCCAGAGACTGTTTAATCAGCTGGTGATCAAATGAGAACAAATGTCAGAGAGGTGACGGCAGCCAATATCCAAAGCCCTTCCTCACTAGAGAAAAGCTTGCTGTTGGAAAAAGTCAATTTCCGCCAGGTGGAAAGTGTGTGGGAAATGTTATTGAGCAGGGGGAGCCCTGCTGCCTGCCAAATCTAACCACTTGCCTGGTGTTTCGTTCCTTTCTCTGCCAGGGAGCTGCCATTTATGCAGTCCCTGCATTGGCAAAGACCATCTCAGTGGAGACTTACTAACTTTATTGGGAGGGCAAGGGAGACCAGTTTGCTTGACATTAGGGTCCACACAGAAACCAGAGAAAACACATTTTGTTAAACATGGCATTCCCTAACATGTAAACAGTCTTAACATAATGTTTTAGATAATAAATTCTAGTGCAAAGAGAACAAAACTGGAGGGTCACAGGATAGAACTGGGAAGGACACTTATTTCACCCCTATTTGCTCGAGTTACCAGCGGTATCATAGAAAGGGGCTCTGCATAATAGTCTTATCCAGGTGGCCTGCAGTATCCATGAATCAACTGCAAGTCTCATGTCAGCTTCTGAAAGGCAATGGAAACGGGTGAGGAGGGGCAGCTTCTGCCCAAGTCATTCCTCCTTCCTGACCTCATGACCTGCCGAGGGCTATGCCCTTCTGCCCACTTTCCTGAGATGACTCCTAGCCAGGGCTGCCTCTCTGGTCCCAGGTACACTCTCAGCTTGTTCTTTCTGAGCACCTTCCTAGTCTTATGAGATTAAAGGCTCTTCTACAGCCAAAGAACTGTACACACACCTCCTTTAAACTCCTGCCACTCTGAAAAGCAAACAACAAAAAAAGAAAAACATCTGCCCATAACATCTTTTTGGAAGTTCTTTTCCCTTTCTTTTCAATCAGAACTGTGGGAAACTTTCTCGCTTATATGACATTGCTTATTGGTGCAGTACTTCAGGTATCAATGCCTTAGAAACTAACTATAATTCTCAAGAATTTCTGATTTTGTGAGCTTGACTATTTTAGAAACTTCATGTAAGTGGAATCATGAAATCTTTATCCTTCTGTGATCAGCTTATTTCACTTAACAATAATGTCCCCAAGGCTCATCAATGTTGTAGCATATGACAGAATTTTATTATTTCTTATGGCTGAATAATATTCCATTATAATATGGAATATTACATCTATATAATATGGAATAATATTAATATTTCATACATGGACTATATAACATAACATATGCAATGTAACATATACATTATTTCACATATGTTGTCTATTCCATAATATGTAACACATTTTTCTTATCCATTCATTCACTGGTGGAGATTTAGACTGTTTCTGCCTCTTGCCTATTGTGAATAATACTGCAGTGAACATGAGAGTTCAAATATCTCTTCAAGACCCTGATTTCAGTTCTTTTGGATAAATACCCAGAAGCGGAATTGCTAAATCATATGGTAGTTCTATTTTTTATTTTTTAAGGAACCTCTATAGTGTTTACCATAGTGGTTGCACTATTTTACATTACCACTAGCAATTCATAAGGGTTCTAATTTCTCCACATCCTCAACAACACTTGTTAATTTGTTTTTGTTTTTTGTTTTTTTGTTTTTTTAATAATGGCCATCCATTACTGGATGGTACTGAATTATGGTTTTGATTTGCCTTTCCCTGATGATTAAATGATTTTAAGCATCTTTTCATATACCTTTTAGCCACTCATGTGTATTCTTTGGAGAAATGTCTATTTAAGTCTTTCACCCATTTTTAAATTGGGTTATTTGTTTACTTGCTATTGAATTTACACACACACACACACACACACACACACACACACACACACTTCTTTACTTACAGTGGAGTTATGTCCCAATAA